GTCTAATGAATGACTACGTTACGTTTGTTTTGGAGGCTTACACGTAGATCAATGACATTTTCTATTGATCTGTCTAATGAATGACTACGTTACGTTTGTTTTGGAGACTTACACGTAGATCAATGACATTTTTCTATTGATCTGTCTAATGAATGACTACTTACGTTTGTTTTGGAGACTTACACGTAGATCAATGACATTTTTCTATTGATCCGTCTAATGAATGACTACGTTTGTTTTGGAGACTTACACATAGATCAATGACATTTTCTATTGATCTGTCAATTGAATGACTACGTTACGTTTGTTTTGGAGACTTACACGTAGATCAATGACATTTTCTATCGATCCGTCTAAAAATTAATTAATCTCAACATAGAAATCTGGTAATGTATAACGAACATGCCTAAATATTTTTGTAAAACATGAAAGTTTATTTAGAAAGTGACTATTAAAATAAATCGAAACTTAGAGTTGACGGCTTTTTTACAAGCTGCAACATTGAAGTGTTTTTTGTTTTTTAGTATCAGTGCCAAAAAAAAAAACTTTTTGAACGTTTCTGTTTAATCCTCAGAAGAAACTCACTGTCGCTCTAAACCCCCGGTCATCTATCTTGTGGGCAAAGCCTCCAGTAGCAAGTGTAGACCCGCCTTCATTTCTGCTTCTCGCACCCGATTGCCCAGAGTCACTGGGTAAGAAAGTTGACTTGAACCATCAGTCCGTGTCTTCGGAAGATCGCTAGGAGTGGCAGATATTCACGGACATAAAGTGAGTTTTTCGGAAGAGGTAAGTTCTATAGAGTAACGTCACTTTTTAATCAAGCCTAACAATTTTTATATTTATTTATATTTGTGTGCATAAATTATTCCGAAATGATTCTGTAATTAACGTTTGTTTATATTTGGTGTAGAAAAATAAAATAATTCTTGATATTAAATCGCTGGAAAGTAATAATTGGGAATTTCTATTTTTTTTTAAAATCCTCTCGACAACAACCGTGTTTAACATCTGCAAATGTATAGTTTTATTTGAGTGAAATATTTCGTAGAAAAATAAAAAGTGATAGAAATAAAATTCGCAAATGGGAATTCTAAATCTTTTTCTCATTATAGACATTGAAATCACTGACTTACGCATCACCAAAACTGTGTAAAAGTCTGGCTTTTCCGGTGCGGTTTATTACCTGCCAGCTCCTCGTTCTGAACAGTTAAGTGAGTGAAGTACTTTCTCTTCACCAGATGGCGCGATAAGAACATTAAGGTAGTTCTCAAAGCCGGGCTCCTAGTGACAGTAAGAACGCGGTACTTGTAGTTTCAGTTGGGTTACCACGAGATTCTCGAGAACCCGCTGTCGAAGCCAAGAGAAGGAGTGCCTATTGCATATGGCAAGCCTACTACGAGGGGTTAGGTACAGTTGCCTGTGTGTATTTAGGAAGATCTTTTAATGCTGGACTAATAGAAAGTGTGCAGAGAAGCGTATTTCATGACGTAAGAGACGGAAATCGTTTGCAAGACAAACCAGAAGGTTGAGTGAGATGTAAATATGTGTATGGCATCATATAGTCGTTTCTTTTAAGCTTGTTGAAGTTTTTCTTTTTAGCTCTGTTTGTGTAGAAATATAGATGAAACGATATTAAAATTACTTATGTTACAAATAAACTGGTGTTACGTTCAAATGCTCTTAATTTATTATTTAACAATGCAATCTTGTTAAAATGCTGCTGGTCACTAAGTTTTAAAATGGTATTCCGAATAACATTGGCATTGTTAAATGTAAGACTCTTTAGAAATAAGGTCTGAAAACTAATTGGAACATTTGTATAGTTTAATTACATTGGGTAGTAGTTTCAACTATGGACTAGCAAGTCTTAACATTTTTCTAAACTGCAGCTCTGAGCATATCATTTAATTAACTGACGTGTGTGTAATATGTTTCACATTACGATCTAATAAAACAAACACACGTTTTACCTGTAAGATTGTTTTTAACTGTCTTTCTTTTGGTGCTAACTCCTTGTCAATAATTGTGGTTATTTATGTATTTTTTAACCAGTGTAAGTTTGATTGTTCAGTTACTTTTTGGTGACGTGTGACGTAGTACTCACGTGACTTTACAATTTACTAGGTTGAGGCCCTAGTGTTGCGAGAATAACGTGCCAAGACGGCTGAGTATGATGAACGGAGCCCTCTATGAGGACAGCACGAGCAGTCGGCCAACTCTGGACCCCGTGCCGCCAAGCCAGCCTATTCAGCCTGCTCCTCTTCACATTCCTGCCAAGAGAGTCACCAGTGGTTTGCCAGTATCATACACACATCACGAGCACAGTGTGGAAAACACTGCCGCCGTGATCCGACACGGGCATGGTGGACAGCCCTGGTCTTACACCGCCGAAAACCACACAGCTTTCGACCCCCACCCTCAGTACAACCAGACTTTGTGTAATGTCAGAGAGGCCGGAATGGCTCCAACTTATTACTACAATGAACACGCCGTCAGAGCGGTGGGTACACCAGATAGAAAACCTTCACTCAAGTTCTGGTCGAACACGTACGAATTGGCGTCCCCGGGACCCAGCAGTGTGGCTCCTGCAGATTCGTGCCAGAGTTTCGCTCCACAGACCTGGTGTAACTATGCTCCGTATCCTACCCGAGTGCCGGGCCACGTGGAGCCCCATGCACCCCAGCACATGCCATATCTCGCCAGCGATGACCGAGGACGTGCGCCCATGGACTTCCCCCACCCTGACAGCTACGGATTTCGGGGTTTCGGCGGGACTGAAGGGCACGGACCGACACATTATATTCCAGCAGGTGCTGGTAAGTAACACTAAATCTTGTATCTTCAAGAACTTTATTTTTTGAGAAACAAAAAGAAAAAAAAAGGCATGTATCTAAATACTAACGTTGAATGTTCTAGTTGTATATTCTGTTACATGTCGCATATCTTAAGACTTCGGCTTTAGAAAATAGAACATTTTTATAAAGGGCATGACGTAGTAAGATCACCGAATTAGTAATAGCCCCTGAGCAACTGGAGCAGTTGTTGGCTAACTTAGTTAAAGTGTAACACCATTTTACTCCTTTCGGGAAAACCAAAAAAAACGCTACTTTAAAATCAACACGTCGTATAAGAACGATTTATTAAGCACGAAGATACTAAAAAATCACTTTAAATTTTATTTCCTTAAACCCAAAAGTTAAAGTAAATTTCCCATTTCATCGTACCACGATATTCTGAATGAGTCAAAGCAGCCTTTAACTTCCTCGTTACTTTTGTTGTTCTGTAAAAACACACATAAACATTAGTTTTTGTTTCTGTTAAATTAAGTCGAGGTCTGCTAACAGTCTTGTATTCTGCAGCGTACAACTAGTTTACTGGTAAACTCAAGAAGACACAACTCGAGTGCATGCGTTTAGCTCGCATGTCATGTATTCTGGGCTATTACTGTTTTATTGTCTCATGAACGGTAGTAAATATGTTTATGACTGTTAAAGCGAAGCTCACAACACATTTGTTTCTCTTTATTTTATAGACAACAAAAATTCAAGTGAACGTTTGACATTTATATGTTAAGTTTCGCTAAAAAGTAAAAGTTAAATAATGTTACTAAGGCACTGAATGTTTGCACTTACAAGTTAGTATGTTTAGCCCTGACCTTGAAATACAAGTTAGTATGTTTAGCTCGTGACCTTGAAACGAAACTATTCTATATACTACGTGGTTCAAAAGTTTAACCTTCATTTCAAAATTCAGTTTTCGATAATCATTTTAGATATGAAAATCATCTTTAAATATAAAATTCTTGTTTGCTATGTTACTGAGATAATATGTTTTATTTTCACAATTTTTTCTCAGTTCCGTTCACAGGAGAATCTTTAATGGCAAATCCCTTGGACTGCACGGGGACGGTCACAGTCAGAAAAAAAAGAAAACCATATTCAAAATTTCAAACGCTTGAATTGGAAAAAGAATTTCTCTTCAATGCTTATGTTTCGAAACAAAAACGATGGGAACTTGCACGTAACTTAAACTTAACAGAACGACAAGTAAAAATTTGGTTCCAGAACAGAAGAATGAAGAGTAAAAAAAACGCCCAAAGAAGTGGAGACAGCCAGAATAGCAACAACATAATTGCCAACAATAACAACTCGGACCCGATTTCTGCCAAATAAAATTTTAATTAATTGAACATCTTAAGTCAGAAATATGATTATTGCCACTTCGAAAGAGCAGCTATACTAGCAAAAATATTTAAAGAAACTATAATTGCTCAGAGAAATAATGTAAAACAACCTAACAAATACTCGAAACCTGGCAAAAAACTAGAAGACTATGGGACCTAAAGGCAGATGCTATCTTGATGTGACCAAATGTTTTCCGACTAATTCAGCTATTTAATTGAAGCTAGCTTTCAATTTGTTTTAATTATGTTTAAAACAACAACAACAACAATAATAATAAATACAGATGAGCGCTATAATAGAGAACTGTTAATTTACGGACTATGTATAGCCTCTACCCAAAGATGATTGCATTCAACAATCCGCTGACAAAAATTTTTAATAGTTTGGGGTTTCAATGTTTTGTTGCTCTCGATATTATACGAACAAATCCACGTTCTGGGTTGTGATATTTGTATTACCGTTATGTACAGCCTACCTCATGAGCCCTTACTAAAAAAAAAAAATGGAAAAAAAGTTTAAAAAATACATTTTTGTTTTTGTTTAAGACGGTTAAATTTTGTACATTTGGATTTTTTAAAAGTTTTAATGTGTAAAATGCCTGAAAGCCGTTCATAAAACAATATAAAGGTGAGTTTTGTCTTTCAACTGTATCACGTTCTTCTATGAGATAGAAACTGGAGATAATGTTTTGGAAGTTCTGTCAGTGTTCTAGTTATTGCGATGGGCTACCAATGTGTTATAAAAAGATTAACGCATTTGTTTTGCTTGATAGCATTATTCATTTAAAAGTTGTTTTCGGACGCAGTGACCTGTCCTAGTCATGGCGTCTTTTGTGAAAGAACCTAATGAGTGGATTACCAATTTGTTATTCTGTAAAAAAAATAATGAGTGTATTGTCTTCATCCTGTCCAAATCTAACGTGAAAATCAATGGCTGGGTGTTCACGTTTGTGTATTTCATTTAGAATATTTCACTGTGACCATATTTAGATGAGTACAAGTTGTATGTAGTTCACGTGACCAGATTCAATCGTATGGTTCCTGATGTCATAAATCCGCAGAAAGGTTGTGACATTGACCATTATCATGAAAAATGTTGTTAATATCATAATTTAGGTAGTGTAAATTAATGTTTTATAGTGTCGTTATTGCTGTATATAACGGCTGTCTGTATACTGCTTTTTCCAACAGTTGCTGGTAGTTTCAAACGTACTGTTGTCATAAACGTGAGGTTAAAATGCTATTTAACAACTAAATCATAGGCCTGTACAGAACAGGTGCAATTTTATAATTTTTTTGTCTTTAACTTTCAATTTGGAACTTTTTAAAAATAGAACAGTATAGTTTGGTGAAACACTGACACTGGCTGTACAAAGTGACTGTGCGCATTGTCGCTTGATTTGTATTGTGAATGAATTTTAATAAACGTTGTTCAATGTATAACTATGTGTTTATTGGAATGAATTTAAGTATCATTTGAAACACTCAAGGAGCTAAGTACGTTAAAAATGCCTCTATCACAAAGTCAATATTCGTGTATAGTTTTTACTTAAAATATCACGTTGTAGAAGTACACAGTAAAAAATGTGTTGGAGAACAGGATAACAACCTATTTTTCAAGTTTTTTCTCAGCAGATGGCGTTCTCATCGTAGTTTTTACATATATATATATATATATATATCCAACACCCTATTGTGCTGAGTGCTATCAATAGGATACCAGGAAACTACCAATATTTTGTCGTACGCATGCGCTAGCGGTAATGGAAGCGTGAAATATACCCTAGATCGATGAGCTTTGTGTTTGCCCTTGGAGCGCCGGTAAAATGAATTAGAGGAAAGGGGAGGGGGAAGAGAAAGATGTGCATACTGAGAGGAAGCAAAGCTGACATGTTCTAAGAGAAATGTTTTTGAAACATAGTTTCCGTTTTCCAGTCTACTCTCCTCGCCATTAATTTTGGTAATCTTAAGGTTGTGAACTTCGGACAACTTCAGTTGGAGAGTCTCAAGCAGCGTATCGTGTTAAATACTGTAGCACCATGTTGCAACAGTGCTGGAAGTACCATTAAATCAATATTGATTTTTAGATTAATATCCTCATTACTTTTCCAATAACAACGGATTGAGTAGTTTTGATGCTGTTTCTGTTGGCGCCAAAAAGTGAAATTAATTATTTAGAGCTTTGATCGCATGAATTGTGGGAATAAAATATGGATTATCTAAATGGCGAAAAAAAAAAAAGCTTAAATTTATAATCAAATAATTGTAGAGCTAATCTCAGTACCATACAACCAGTTGTGAATTTAAGTTCCAACTTTTACTGACACACACAAATAAAGTCTTTAGATTCTGAATACTGCTTGGAAATATTATAAGAATTCTATATTTAATTTGTTGTAAACAGGTATAATGAATAAAACAATTACATCAAGAATAAATACAGGTCTTTCATTGTCATGAAATACACAATTAGAAAATCATCATAAAAATTAAACTCCCGAATTTATAAGAATTATTGGATATTCATGAATTTCCTTTCGAAAATATTGGATGTTTATGAATTTCCTTTCGAAAATATTGGATGTTTATAAATATGTTTTCGAAAATATTGGATGTTCACGAATTTCCATTCGAAAATATTGGATGTTTATGAATTTCTCTTGACTCGGTGTCGTCACCGAATTCTGAAAACATCAAATGTCATCTCAGTGCAGTGATTCTCAACCGTGGAACAAGTACTATAGGCGGAATATGAGGATGTTCAATGTGGAATACGGGAATATTATTTAAGAAAAAAAAGATGAATTGAAAATTACTGGTTTTTCAATGTTACTGAGATGATCTCAAATTAGCATTTGTTTTTTCAGTTATTAATTTTTCGTGCAAATACATTGTTAATTAAGCACGTGAGTAAATTACATTCATTTTATTTATTCTGTTTTTATTATCTTGTTTAGAATTTATTTAGTAGAAGACTTAACGATTTGTTTTTGTATTTTTATGTATGCCAATTTTGTAACGTATTTCACATTGCGGCTCATAAGATGCGAGGCCATTATAGATAGCCCAATATCCAGCTTTGTGCTTAATAAAAAACAAAAAAACAAAAAAAAACTCCGATATGGATCATTTTCACTTTTGTGTGCTTACGGAATCTTATCATCTTCACTTTTGTGTGCTTACAGAACCTTATCTTGTCTACAACACTGTAATCTGATGTAAGATAGTCATTTTTCTCCATTATCTACTACAGAAGAAGTTCCCAACCTCTTCAGTATTTGTACCACTTGACTTTCAACCAAAACCACGGGTATCGAAATCGGGTTTAAAGCGTTATAAGCCTTCAAACGTACCGCTGAGCCACAGAGGAGCATCAGAGTTGGTATTATTTGGATATCTTTCTTCCACGGCAAAAAGAAGAATTCTAAACAGGTTTACATATTTATTTTTTTTTCTTACAAGTGTGTAAGATTAATTTTAAATAGTTCAAATGTAACATTTCGTGGTGTGTACTTACAATTTTTTCTTATCTTAGTGTAGCAGGAAAGTTGTTGTTTTCTGTGTTGGAGATGTTATAAGCCGTTTACTAACAACACTATCAGCATTTGATGAAGGTCTTCACACAGAGAATGTCGTTCATCACAAATTATCAAGGCGACTGAATACATAGATGTCTACTCGGCCTATAATCTAACTAAATTAATGTTCTGTAATAAAAAGTATTATGAATGTGTGTGTGAGTGAAGTTTCAAGTATTAGTCACGACATCTTTAACTTCAGAAAGTTTGATTTGATTGACGATAGCGCCATCTACCACGTTATCGAACCTAATTTAAAATCGATTAAAATTTTAGCGGTCTTTTGTTTGTGATCACGACTATCTGTAAAATTTTCAAGTGTGTATTATCGAAACCAATTTTCTAAAATTTTCCTGGTATGAAATACCTTGTTTTTAAATACATAAGGGAAAGCTGCTTACCAATAATACTTCTAAATTACACTGCACGTGTAACAATAAAGAAAGGAAAAGGAAATATAGGTCATCACGGATACAACACATAAACTACTGTTATATTGTTTGACATTCACTACAAAAGTAATATAATTTGAAGAAAGATGATTTACGCATTGTATCATAAAATCTGAATGAAAAATCTAAAAAGAAAAGGCACGAAGGTGAGAAGATATAAAAAATACCAAACTTACAGAACTATTCAAGCTAGAACTCCATATCTAATGTTTTATGAGTCACTTTTGATGCATATCTATTTACTGCTCATTTCAAAACCATGCAACAATTATATAAACTTATGCAACACAAGGTTAAGATTGTTAATATAATTATACAACATAACACTTTAAATCCGCTACACATTTTATGCTATGAGTAACTTAACAACGATAAAAAAAATTTTGACATTGGAACTATAGTTTTCCCAATAGCTAGATGTTTGAAAAGCGTGATTTTTTTTTCAATATTCAGACTAGAATTACTTAAAATAATCCGTCAATCACTTGAATTACTAAATTTGTTTGAGTTTCGATAATATAATTAATTTTTCTTCCCCCTTTTTTACTTATTAAATAATTTAGAATGACACGTAAATTGAAGAATCTGAGTCTAATATTTTAAACAATTACCAAAACACCTACAATATTCATATGGAGTTCATGGGGGTCCATGGTGGACACGTTGAGGTTGGAGTTTGGGAAGATAATTTGCAGTGTAGTGTGAATTTCAGCAAAAAACATTTGGCTAAAATTATTATAATTACTCTAAGGTTAAATATATAATGGCAGAATTGAAGATTCAGCTTATCGTGATTAAATTGTTAGATTATCTTTTAGTGTTATTTATCAAAATTAGGTATGAACGGCCTAGAAATAGCGTATTTTTATATTTTTGCGCTGTGTAAGCGTTAACTATTGAAAGTCCTACGTGACCTGTGTCAATCCACTTCATGTTAATTCTAACCTGTAAAATCACAAGACTGAAACACTTTCATAAACTTTATCGTAATGCCAGTTGATGATCAAATACGGCATACGTTGTTACAGGTGAACAGCTGCTTTTTGAATCAGACCCTACATCACCAAACGTAAAGTTCCGTTGTCCTGGCTTTAAGATAAAACAAGTGATCATAATTCTGTGGGGGTAAATATTCAGATGCAAGTTAAAGCTAATTCACATCGTCACTGTGTCAATTTTATATTTTTAGCACTGCTACTAGTGTAACTATTCGATTTCAATTTGTAACATAAAATTCAAGGAGGGATTAAAAGTTTAGTAATTTTCTTTATCATACATCATAACGGTTTTAAGAACTTCAAGTTTAATTAATAATATCTTCATTATGTTACATCTTTCAGAATAGATGAGAATTTAGGTGAAGTACAATTCAGTTCTAGTTACAGCTGTCAAAGGTTTTAGGTATTAATGTTTTA